ACATGAGGTGCAGTTAGAGCTAGATGTCAAGGCTGCAGTCAGTGGAAGGGCAGATAGAAGGATATACCCTACTAAACATTATTTTGGGTACTTTTTATATTTTTCCATGTTTTGCATCTTTATAAAAAAAAAGTGTGGGGTTCCCAACTACAAACAAACCAGTGTAAACCAGCATATCGCAATGGTTCTATAACATTGTAGAATGGGTGCATCTTGTACTTCATAATTGGGATTTAATTAAACCCAAAATTCTCATAAATCCTTACTTTTGCTGTTAATGCTGTTGGGATTTTTGCACATGAACTGACTGAAGCCATTTTCTAATGTGAAAACTGAAGAGTGCAGACGATCCACATGCTGAGCTGTATGCATTATGGGAACATTCTGACGGAAGACAGAGAAACACTCCACTATTAATTGGTTAAAGACTTTTTGGAAATGACAGGCTATTACAGTTATGAAAATTCTATTAAAATAAACCTGTATATGTTTTACAGATGCCAGGGGGTTCTCATTAAATCTGCCAGGTTATATTGCAAGACTTTTACATAAATGCAGTAAAAATCACGTTGAAAATTCAAATTAATTCCATAATTTATTGAAAATAATGTAATACATTTTCATACTCTTTCTGTTAGTCAACTGAATAGTGACTGTCCAATGCCATAAACACCTTCTATTTTTCCTCCTGGGCTTCTTCAATAAAACAAAAAAAAAACATTATTAAATGTCCAAATTCTGCTGTGTATCAAAAAGTGAGACGTGCTGTGATGTCAGCTGCCAGTAGTCACTGCGGGCTTACAGACACATTTGCTTGAATTAAATTTTCCAGCTGCTTGTATCTCTCTGCAGTGTCCCTGGAAGACTGAGCTTCTCTTCACCCAACTCCTGGCAGTTTTGCGAGAAGCACTTTCTTCTCTCGCTCGATTCTTGTCCAATAGAGAATGGGCTGATATGTCCAAGCTCTTGATTAGGCACATTGTCTGTCCGGTTAAAGGAATGCAGTGGTCTAATAATCTATTTCTCTATAGGCAGTACGGCACCAGCGCTCCTGCTGTGGAAGAATATTGTTGTGTATCAGTTCAATGCAACCTAAGCAATCAGAAAGTCTTTGGCACTTTCCCCAAGTTTAATATAACACCGTGATTAAATGTTTATGATATCTCAGCTATTCAAAATATATAATTCTAGCATTTCAGATAAAATTTTAGGTCAGTTTGCAAGAGAAACCAAATAAATCACCAATAGCAGTGGCCGCTGCACACAGTGTAGTAAACAAACAACGCATGTTTAACTCTGTAAATTGTAAATCGAGTGCATTCTTGAATCTGAGTGTCACGCCCCGCTCCGTCCGCTCCCAATGTGTGCCACGCCCACCTCGTTACCTCGTGTGATTCCCTGATAGTTCTTACCTGTGATTCGTTACCCTTAGCCTATGTCTTGTATTTAGTCCGTGTCTAAGTCAGTGTACCCCAGATCTGTCATTGTATTGTCCGTCGATGTCCGTCCGTGGTGTATTAAACCCAGTTTACCTGACTTCCTGGCTCCGATCGCCTGCTTCCCTGCTCGCCTCCTTTGCCTGAACGTGACACTGAGCTCCGTGCCTATCCCGTCACTATCTTTCATATCGCAGCATAATTCGTCTTGGACCACGAAAGAGCTTTACCTCCACACAGCTCAGCAAAGGCCTGGGAACCACTGGGTACTGTAGGTGTTACTTGCCAAACTTCAGCGTCATGATTGCAGTGCGCCTCCTTATGCCACCAATCAATACATCCTATAACAATAACATCTCTATAAATCTTACTGGGAAAAAAAAAGTATTTTATTGCTTACGTGCTGCAAGGTAAGAAATCCATAAATATCTTTTTATCTAGAAGATGTCTACTCTGTGTCACAGACAGGGGCCCCATGTGGGGGGAGTCAGGATGATTCCAAGGGCCCCTTTCATTAAAAAAAATCAAAAATAATTGGATTAGCTTGCATTGGGGGCCCAATACGATATGCATTCATGGGGCCCAAACTCTCTAGCAGCATCCTGGGTCACAGGTAGGATTACAGGCGGTTACTGGTGAGTGACTCAGTGGGCTAAGCCTCTGCTATGTGTGAATGGAAGTTTGCTGGGCTGAGCTCAGGCCTCGGCAGTCATATGCCTGCGGGCGAGGCCCTTAACGCCCAGGTCCAGCAGGGCTGCATGCTGGCTGACCCTGCACTGTTACCCCCAGCTAGCTCTTACCTGCATATGTGTCTCATGGAGTGCAGGGCAGGACAGGCAGAAAGCGAATTTCACCATAGGGATTAAGGAAAGTGTCATCATTCTATTCAGATTTAACTGTGGGGAATTCCACACCACGGCCCACTACTGCTGCTTCCTACCAGAATCGGCTGCCCATATAGCCCTTACCAAACAGGACTCACGCCATTTGGGAGGGGGGAGGAAAAAGCCAGGGTTGCACTAATTTGTTTTTGTTTTTTTGTTTTTTTTTAAACCCATCTGTGTACTCAGGACCCATAAATCATCTGCATGCCGTGGATCTCCAGGACCGACAGGTGAAGGACAGACTGAGGCTGCAGACTGGCCCCTCCGTCTCTCGCCCCCAGCTCCATGCCTCACTGTATTTCCTCCCGAGCGGTGTTTCCCAGTCCGGTCCTCGGGGACCCGTAGCCGGTCCACATTTTGCTCACTTCTAACTCCCTGTCAGACAGTCCACATTTTTGCTAGCTGAGAGGGAGCAAAAATGTGGACTGTCTGTGGGTCCCCAAGGATCGGATCCAGAGTAACGTAGCCCTGCCCCAGTTTCTGGATCCCATTCGCTTGCCGACATCTTCCATGGCCGTTCCATGATATTAGCATTTTACTTTGAAATAGTCCCACCCATAGATTCACTTACATGAAATGCAAAAAGAATGTTTCAGCGTTTCTATGTGAGGCAGTTCAGTAGAGGGTCAATTTAAACACCACTAAGGTGTATAATGTGTGAACAATGCTGTTGCATCATTATAGGTTTTATACAGTTTTACTCAGACTGCTGCAGTCATTTCAGCATGTTATTTCATGCATATGGTACGTAATTACTGCATGCTCAGTTAAGCTTCCAGCCAAACTGGAATACTTATTGCGCTGGGCTACGGCGTGGGTGGGAGCGGCTGCTGGTCCAAGGCATGGAGTGAGGGCCTGGGGAGAGAACACCTGTCCACCTGTCAGAGGCCTGGCTTTGTCAGTGCTGTTCCTGTGAGAAGGAGTCATGTTGAGCTGCCAGAAGGACGCAGGAGAACCGAGGATCACAGTCAGTGCTTCTGCTCCCTCTGCCAAAGGCTTACATAACATTGAAGGCTGAACAAGGGCGTTGTTCCCAGAAATCCTACGTTAACCAACCTCAACATCAACTTTCATTTAACGTGCAATTACACACATAATACAGAACCCCCACGTACACTTTTTTCAAAAATACTGGGTCTGAAACATTAACTATTGCACTCAGTTTTATGTCATTGATAGTCACCTGACAATGATGCTGTAGCCTGGTTTTTCTCACTATTTTTACAAGACCTGCTTTATTTATTCCTGGTTTATTCCCTTATATTTTTCTTTTTTGTCCGTTTTTCTTCTGTTTTACAAGTTTTCCTTCTCCCCCTCTCATTTATTTATTTTTGTGTGGTACATGTGTATTGCACATTGTATAACAATTATCTGAGTCTGTCCCCAAGCCGTTCATTGTGCAGATGTTTCTGCCATACTCTACATATGACAAACAAAGACTTGACTAAATGGTCAATTGAATTCTGCTTCTGTATATAATATAATATAATATAATATAACAAGTAGATCACTGGACCAGAAGGAATACTGGAAATAAGAAAATCAGTTTCCTAAATGGTTCCTCTACAAGAATGTCTTTATGAATGAGATGCAGTTATATTTAACTGTGGTAACAATATTGTACAATTCATGTCGACTGTCTTCTGTCTTGCTAAAACTATGAAATACAATATAGTGGTACCTCGGTTCTCAAACTCACCAGAACTCGAATTTCTTGAAAGTCAAACAAACCAGTTTGACCTAGAACTCGATCTGAATATCAGAAGTCGAACCGTGAACGCTGACCTAATATAAATTGTACGCGCCAGGAAATGAGTCATACTACAATGCAATTCTTACTTACTTGAATGCCTTCTTCACAGACTGGACGATTAACCAAATAAAGCAGCGCAACATTACAGTAACTAACAATAAATAAACCACTAACTTACGTGTACTATTAGAGCATTTATGTCATTTATTTAAACTTTATTTTACCAGGTAAAAACTGAAAACCAGTTCTCACTGCTTTACGTGATATTCGGGAGAAATAGCAGATTACGCATCGTAAATGCCTGGGATACAAACGTCATGCGTGTAACTGAACTCTTCAGCCAATAAGGGCAAAGGTGTGTCGTCACGGAGGCGGTTCCAGTTTGTACAGGCTGGTCACTGGTGAGAGGTCGCAATGCATCTAACCGTAATGCATTGCGTCAGGATCAGAATGCGTTGCTTTAAGCCAGCGCTGTAAACAAGTCGAACGCACCCAATGACCTGACTGGGGAAACAAACTGAAACGCGGACTTAATACAGAGGACTAATGACAACAACCAGAAACAGCTGATCACACGGGGATCCCACACGGGGTTAACGAGGGGGCGTGGCACACGGAAGGAGCGGACGATCAGGGCAGGACAGGGGTAATGTTGGGATAAGATCTTTATCGTTTTGGAAGCCATTAAGAAAAAAATGCTCTTCTTGTTTTATCCTGTTCATTTTGTGTTTAAATGCTAAAAATGAAAAAAAGGAAAAAAAGACATATTTAGGTGTAATTTTGGGGGGCCGGGAACCAATTAATTGGTTTTCCATTATTTCTTATGGAAAAAATTTGATCAGAACTCGAACTTTGTAGGATTCGATTCGGAGTCCGGAACGGATTAAGTTGGAGAACCGAGGTACCACTGTGTTGTGCATTGACAGTATTTGCACTTGCAGGAAACCTGCCCAGCGGTGTAAGGCCACAGTACTTCCCAAAATATTCATGTTGTTGTATATTTATATACACCATTTATGTTTTTTATAACATAAGCACAAGTGAAGGCATACAATATTTAATTTAAACAGTACCATTTTGAATTTGCATACTTTACATGTTGTTGACTAGAAATGTTTATGTTAATATTTATTAGAGAAAGGATCATCTGAAGGTCATCAGTCCATAGTCCAGGGAAACAGAGTCTGTTTACCCTGAAGAACAGCTGCTTTTGATGATATGAAAATTAACCAGTACTATAGGCTACAGAGGTGTTTCCTTGGTGACAGTGTTTACATTGGTATAGAAATCTCTTATGTATTTAAATTTGCAAACATACTTTTGATCCTTTTTTATTTTTGTCTTGCTGGGCTGGAATCATGGAGTCACATGATGTCAGTATCAGTCATATTATGACATCAACTTGAATCATCACAACCCTTCTTAATGGGCAAACATTTAATTGGTACATGGATGTATATTTTATAATTTATAATCAACCAAAACCTGTCCTTTAAAATTCTATTAGTCATCATAAATAAATAATGACTTAACAGTCTGATATAAAAACAACCAACTCAAAATAGACTTGAATGCTGATGTATACATATAGGAACGGACATATTGTATGCTGTCTGATTGATTTATGAAACGGTTAAGGTTTCTATCACTGTAACATTTATATTCATGTCTTCCTGCTAAATTGGTAGCTATTCTTCAGTTAAAAAATTAAGTAATTAATTTGACATTTGTACTTAGCTGCAAACCCACAAACCTTTAAATAATTTCTCTGATTTTGTAATTCTTATTCAACCAACTACCATGACATTTTTATAAAGTACAGAATATTAAAGGCCACAATAAAATGGAATATAGTTTGAAAAGTTCTCTGTATAAAAATGAAAATGATACAAAACACGCATATGTGACAGCAATAGTAAAAATTAAGATAAAAATAAATGCAAAGAAAAGATGAGTTTCTGTTTCATTTCTCTTTCTGCTTCGCCTGCTCATCCCCCTGGTCCTTCCTGTCCGTGGCTCTTTCAGCTGCTCGCTTTTCAGCACTCTGCCTGATTAGGGGAGTCTGCCCTCACTGACACACTGGAGACATCCGGAAGTCGCCTTTCAAACAGTGCAAGGGCTCAGGGAAGCTGCTTTGAGTCACTAAAGATTTGACCTGTGAGACTGCAGAAGAAGTCTGGCTTCATTATGAAGGTCGTCCCTTAGGCAGATAAGCCATCACAGTCATTAAAATACAGGAGGAATGAATTTATATTTATTTATATTTATAATATGAAATACTACACCGAGATATTCACAGACATACATTTCTTTTAGACAATTAAAAGATTAAAGCAATACAGTCATAAGTAACATCACTGCCATCGTTTTATACTTTAGCTTGATGTTTTCTCAGGGATTTTACATTAGAATATATTAGGAGTGAAACTTTGAGTTATACTGCTGAAGCCAGCGGTGCTGATACCTAAGATGCCCCTTCACAGCTATTCAACCCCCCCCCCCCCCGCTCTACAGGATCCAAGGGACTCCTGTCAATGATGAAGCTGCACTGCACCCACCCAGGTAAGCGGAGATAATGCTGCCGTCTCCCCAATTTGTCATAACGCCTCCGTGTCACTTTATGAGCTTCCAGGTGTCTGTGGGTTATTGATGGGCAGAGGACCCACACTGAGGATTATCTGTCTCCATCATTCCTTCACCTCTGAAAGTGAAAGAGGGTATTATGCCATAATCTGGAGGAGGGCATTTGACAGCATAACTGAGATTGTAGTGCAAAATAGCCAAGCACTAGTCAGCATGTAAGTGACCCAAGTGGAATCAATGTGAGAAAAAAATACAATTACTTTTAATGTCATTCGTCCGGTGTAAGCATTTTTTGTATCAAGCAATCAAATGCTTTTCTTTCCTCCATTGCTTGTGGCATGTAATTAATCAAGATTAAAACTAAACGGCACATTCCCCCAAAATGTTTATTTTATTAATTAGCTTGTAGAGGCAGCTAATTGACATGCCAGTATAGTCTGGGCTTTGTATACAGAGAGGTAATTTCAGAGTAAATTGCACAGATACTGATTCATCATCAGAGTTTGATCTTGTGCAGCAAAGCCCGCCTGCCTGTCCCTGCTTAGCCCACTTACCGTATGCCAGCAGATCTTTAAATCACTCATTTGAGTACTTTACCGCCTGCAGGCAGCTTAAAGGGCAGTTTTATAGTAAACCAATTTTCAGTGCCTGTGAATTTGCCAATCACTTAATCAGCTGCAGGGATAAAAGCTACAATTAGCATTGACTAAACAAACACTATTTTGCAGTATTACATCTCAGTTGCCGGCCACCACCCATTATTTTTGGTCCTCTTAGCATTTCTGAGTTACCACTTTGGCAAAGCTACAGCACGCTATGAAGATGACTGTAAAATGCTCAAAAACATTTTACAAATAAAAAGCTACAATTACAAATTACAATTACAAATAACATTTTGCAAATAAAAAGCTACAATTACAAATTACAATTACAAGTAACATAAACCTACCTACCTACCTATTTACAAATTTGGAAAATGCAGATAAACACTCCCCCATTTCATAAAGATAACCATCGTGCCTCTTCAATTCCTTTTGAAAGGAGATTTTAATTTAAATTCATCATATGTTCTCCCTCGTTTCTGGAAGGTTATGGTGTCTCTTGGCATTGGTCACTGTGAAGGTTTTTTTTCCCTGGTCAGCATGTGGCCTTGGTCACAGTTCTAGCAGCGAGGCTAGAGAGCATGACACGTCAGGTGCTGGATTTTGCTGACGGAGTCACATATGCTGAGTGGAGCTTAATAAACTGGGGAATTAAAAGGCAAACACAAACACCTTGTAATATTAATTTCCGCTGACAACTTTTCATTTGGTGATGCACAGACGTGAAATTTGCCATGAAGGCATTGCAAACGACTCTGCTGGGAAGCGGTGCAGCAAACTCATCAGAACAATTAGACATGCTTTAATGTGTCAGAGCTTTCCATAGAGTCACGCCTTGCTCACTGCTACTATGCTAACTTTTCTGTGTTCTTACTGAATGTACCACCTTTGCATAAGGAAATGCTGTATTGTAATATGCAGGACAATTGTGCTTTCTTAATGTGTTCAATGTCAATTGATTTTCTTTAAAAACACTTTGTCTAGTATTTTAAGAAGAAAGCTTAGTGGAAAGCTTGTCCAATAATAATTAAAACAATTTTAAATTAATGTTAAGAATGCAACATCAAATATATGAACTGTATTATAAAAATTACAATATGTTTATTATTGTTAAGTAAGGAAATCACATTGAATGTGAGCTATATACATTGTCCTTCTCTTTGTGGAGTTCCTGCTTAATTATGAGGACACACCCATCTGACTTTTGGGGGATATTCATCACTTCACCCTAATCCAATTACAGAACGGTTACTTAGTTAGTCAGTATTGGTACATTAATTCGTACATTTTTAGCAGTACTTTACATGAAAAAAACACAGTATTGGTTCTTAGAGTATGTGTGTATATAATCTTAAACCATCATTCAATTCCATGTAGTTTGTGTCACATAAAAAATATCCATGACAGGTATCTAAGCTAGAATCCTACACTTTGTTTTAGAGAGGAACTGAAAATATAATGGGATGGTGATGAATTCTGCAAACAGGACTGCATTTAATCACCTGGAGTTAGTTCATTATGGTTGTCTATTCTGCCTTTACGCTCAGACCATTAAATTCATATAACTGGAAGAAACAGCTGATCCCCACGGCCACTGTACAGTATAGCCAGTGATGGTATAGAAAATGTGCCATAAAATTAGTGCTTAAGGTCTTCATCATAAACTGGAAATCCTTTATATTGATCTTAAGCCCACCACCTGTACCCCTCATTTGGCTTTGAGTAAAGTTACAACAATAAACAAGCATGTGGGTGTGTGTGTGTGTGTGTGTGTGTGTGTGTGTGTGTGTGTGTAGTTTGTGGGTACATTGTGGGGACAAAACCTGTCATATTGATGTTGTGGACACCATTTTTTCCATCCCCACAAGGGGAAACTCAATTTTGTTGAAATCTGTAACTGCAATCAAAAAACTGAAAATGTCAAAAGTCTTGTATTTTGTTTGGTTACATATGATTAAGGATAGGGCTGGATAGCATGGAACACCATCTGGGTCAAAACCCTCTAAATCAACACGTCAAATATGTATGTCTTTAGACATCAAAAATAAGCGTGTTAACACAATCATTCCTGAGACATTTCGGACCTTTCAATTAAAGCTTCCATACTATTGGTTGGCGCCATATACCCACCCCATTCTGATAAGGGAGCTGCGTGGGGCTGTATGTCAGCCTACAGTACTTTATGGTCATGTGGGTTCCACGTTCTGGTTAGTCTGGATGATGCTGGATCGCGCACGTACCTATCATGTGTCTTATGCGCAAACGTGATGTGATAGTTGGGACAGTCCATTTGTGCAGGTACTTCTGAACTCTGGTGGCTGAGGAGAACACAAAATGACCTCCAGAAACTTCATTGACACATGCACTGAAAATATATGTAAAGTGGCCAATAATAATATTTAATATTTAAATGCATGTGAAATGTGAAACATACTGTAAACATATATGTCAAATGTATTTGTTTTGCATATGGGTGGGGAATTGTTTTCTCTCTTGCAGTGATTGTATGTATAGTTTCCCCTAAGAAATAGATAAAGTGGTCGCACCCAAATTTGTATGTCTTAAGTCATCAAAAAATGAACATGTTAACATGTTCATTTTCAACATCTTAAGACTTAGAAATTTAACATGTTGATTCAGAGGGTTTCCATTGGTAGCGGTTAAGGTTCTCATAGTTGGGATTAGGGTTGGTTCTATAGAAATTAATGGGTGGTCCCCACAAAGAAATTAATACATGAACATGTGTATGTGTGTCTGTGGGTCTATGTCTGTATGTCTGTGTCTGTGTGTCTGTGTGTATGGAGGTGCTTGCAGATGGGATCCTCTCTTTGGTGTGGTTTGGAGGCCACAGTGATTGCTTCCCTGGGAGACTGAGACTGTCACTTACAAGCACAATTATAGACATCAGGGCGCTTGCACTCCGCCTCAGTCTCCAGGGCCAGTGGTGAAGGTGACCGAGACCTTACTCAGGCTGGATCTACATTCCCTATACACATGCTAACATCTGATGGTCTACGCACAGTGTGTGAACAGTGTCTAAATGCATAAGGGATCCCCAGTACAGATATCTATTACCAAAACAGCAGGAAATAATGAACATATACCATGGTTTATAGGTGACAGAATTAAGCATATGCATTATGAAAAAAATGGAAGATGGAATATGGAATATAACAGATAGATCTGATATTTTAAAAATTAGAAGATGTGAAGGTGTAGAAATGTTCATTATGCCTTGTAAACTTTTTGCGAGTGAGAGGTTTGATGTCAAATGTGCAAATTGCTGCCTCTTCCAGGTCCCCTGAAAGGTTCCTTTAATGAACCTTGGCCAAGTTTCATGATCTTATCTCAAAGTTCACACAATCATTTTTAAATAAAGTAAAAAGAAAAACAACTATTTAAAATTTACATAGAAGTCCCATATGATGGTGTTATTTAAGATATTACACTGCACCTTTACATTAATACAATTGTTTCCCTTTACTTTACTTACAATACAAAGTGCAGTTATGTCAATGTGTGATGCTCCACTTACTAAATCTCTGTAAAGTGCATTGGGACACATATCCTGGAAAAAATGAAGTGAATTAAAGTGAAGTCTGTTTTTCTGTGTGTTTCTACCAAACAGGTGTATGCCTATTCTCTGCAACAAGTTTAGAATAAACGTTATGTTTATCTACCAGGGTTTCCTTGAGCAATGGTGTATTCTGCAGTGTGCATCACCAGCTGGTCTAAGTATAACAGAGTGAACAGAGTAGTGTACATCTCAGACGTACCTCGTCCTGTTGCCGAGGTTCCTGTACTGTTATTGCCATTTATCTTGTGAATCTGCTATTCCCAAATGACTACATTCATTACGGATGTAGATCCAGTTAAGTAGAAAAGCATTACCTTTAACATCTGGCAGCCACATGCAGCTGGTCCAGGGTGTCCCCCTTCATCTTCTTGGGATGGGCTGTACACTTAGTTCATTGCGACCCTGTATTACTAGATAAAGTGTGTTGGGGTGACTTTATTAACCGCTGCTGACATTTACTAAGAGCAATCCATCAAAGAGCTTTAAACATATGGAGCTGTTATTACTGATAAATCTGTGCAGATGTCATACAAGAGATTTATATATTTTCCTTATACTGTATAATCAAAAATTAGGACAATTTTCCTTATACTGTATAATCAGTGTAGGACAATAGTAAAGCACTAAATCCATCCAGTACAGAGTCACAATAATAGAAAAGCAATAATATTCTCTCCATGTTCACATCAGTTCTGTGTATTGTAGTTGATTAATTTCTCAGGTAGCACTTCTTGTTCTTGGTTAAACACTCCAGACTTACTGTGACACAGTCCATCCATAAGTGGACAAACTCCTTGCTTGCACTTTTATTTACGTATCAAAGTCCCGTGTCGATAAGCAGCTTCCTTTATCTGCAGTATGTTTCAGCCTTTAGCAAATGCTCCTCAGAGTGAATAAACGTGTACTTCTGAAAAACTTTTAAAGAGGATTTTAAGAAGTACTCTCTCTTAACACTGTGCATCATATTGCCTCTCAGCCAGAATATATAAATTAGTTTTTAATGTCACAGAGGCCCTGATTCAATCCAGTTCAATGAAGGCTGCAGTAATTCAGCCAGCCTAATAAAGATATTGCAGAATTTCAGCCTTGGAGAGGATGATAAATGGAAGAGTTTTTTCTCATCCCTTATATCCTCCATTGTATTGGACATGTTGTTTTTGCATCTATCTTTTCACTGTTGTAAGGAAACATATTTATTCCTGTTGTACACTAAAGAGTACAAAATAAATTTGAAAAAAATCTAAATTGTAAAATGTCTTACTTCCTCCAAAGACAAATAACCTAAAATTGAAGGACACTTTTTTCCTTGGGTCTCAGGAGGATATATTGCTTGGATTCCTAAGCAATAATATAAGTATTAAAAAATTTAAAATCCTTAAGCTCAGCAACTGAGACTTACGGGACAAATCTGAGTGTTTAATCCAAAAGATTCTTAAAAAAAAAATATTGTAGGAATGGCAGAAAGACATGGGAATGACTTATTCTGAGAAATAGGCAAACTTAAAATCTTTGAATGAAAGGCGTTGTCAGTAGCTGATATTTGGTAACGCTTTACATTAAGTGCACCTTCATAATTCATTCATTATGCATTCATAGAACATTCAGTGCACCTTCATAATGCATTCATAGAACATTCATAAGCAGCATGCAAGTACACTTTAACATCCTAACATCCCTTAACGGCTTTAATATACATTAATAACAAACATTACATGATTATACAATCATAGTATTTGTTATTAATGTATATTACAGCTGGTAAGAGATGTTATATGTTAAGGTATACATACGTGATGTTTATGAATGTTTTATGAATACTTAATGAATACATTATGAAGGTGTACTGAACGTTTTATGAATGCAATATAAAAGCATTATGAAGGTGCAGTTAATGTAAAACGTT